GCGAGTTCCCCCCCGAGGCCCAGGAAACACGCCAGCGGCGCGGAGGATGGGGTCGTCGGGAGGCGGAGGGACGGACGTCCACTCACGGGGCACGAGACCGCGAAGCCAGAAACATGGGAAATCGGCAGCCACAGAGGCTGCCTTACGCGCGAACCCATCGTCCACTTCCTGAAATTCACTGTTGCACGGGCATTCCCAGAACCGGTGGACGTCCGTTTCGGGGGCCGAGTTGCAACGGGGGCAGGTGAGCTCACACTCTCCCCCAGAAGCCTGAATACGGCCCCTCGTCCAAACGGCCCCAGTAAGGACAGCCCTAAGCAAGCCAGTCTTCTGAGGCGACTTCCTACGCAAGGACGCAAGGTGCCGCCAAGCAATCGCGAGGTCGACGCCCGATGCAAGACCCCCTCCATTGCGGAACTCGGCGGCAGCAGACCATAAACGTGCCTCAATGCTACGGTCCACTTCCTTTTTAAAATCCGACGTCATATAAGCCTGGGAGCGAAGCTCATCGGGAACAGCGAAGACATCACCCCCAGGAGCGACCCAAAACCAAGGCCCATCGAGCTTCCATCCCGAGGCCGTCATGGTAGCGACCACAGCAGACACAGGTCCTTTTATATTATGCCACCTGCGCTGGGGGCCCAAGCTATCGATCCTCTCGACCGTGGCAGACCAACAGGCACGCATGCGGTCCACTCCTTTTTCAGGCAACGCAGCAACAATCTGAAACCAGGACTCCAGAAGCTGAAACACCGTGGTGAAAGCAGGGTCCTTTTTTGAACTTCCAAGGCCAGCAGGGTCGTGAGACATCGCCCCGCCAAGCCTCGAGTTAAGCTGCTGGCTAAGGCCCGTCGCCATTTCTGGAGGACCGAGGGCGCGACCCCAAAAACCTTCCAGGCGTAGGACGCCTGCGGCAAAGCCCCAGTGAGGACCAAACGCGCCCCGATCTTCCGAGGGGCCACAGCAGCTAACTTATGGATACGACACGCCCTACGAGTGGCTTGCCTGAGACGCTTCGAGTGGCGGGGCTTGGCGACAGAAACGCCACTGCCCCTTTCAATGCCCAGATCCGCCGCAACCGAGGCCACATCGACCTGGATGCCTTTCAATCCTAGGCCAGCTTGGATAGCCCGCGCCACCGAAAGCTCAGACGCCACAATAATCGACTTGCTAGCAATCCTCAGCTGCTCCTGTTCGCAGCCCGAGGCAAAAACAGCCCCAGCTTGGATTAATTCACGAATGACATCTCGCTTAAGACCTTCCGCACGCTGGGTGACACCATCGATCCACGTACGGAGGGAAACAAGAGCACTGCTGGCACACGCACGTTCACAAATCTCGAACATTTGGCATTTCGAGAAATCGGGGGCCCTGCGAGCTCCAGCCACAAGCCCTCCGTGCGGAATGATAGGCGGAGCAAAAACCCCCTCGTCCCTCAACAGCCGAGGCCCCATGTGAAGGATACCCTCCAAGGCCAGGGGGTGCGGAGGAAAATCAAGATCAATCGCATGGTCGACCACGCGATCCCATCGAATAGTGTCATAGAACGCTTCCACATCCCACAAAACTGAGGCAGAGCAATACTCAGGCAGGACTGAGGCAAGCGCAGCCTCGTCGGCATAACACCTGAGTAGAGCCTCCCGTAGAGCGCTGTTGCCTCGAACTGCGGCGTCCCAAGGACCAGAGCGAGCCGCAGCCCACACTTCCGCAGGGCGAGACCGCATGCGGCTCCACAAACGACCCAACCAGGTGAGCAAGCCTATGGCGCGATCCTTGCGCACATCAGGTTTGCGAAGCAGAACAACGATAGCGGTGAGCCACTGCCAAGGCCAAGCAACCTTGGCCTCGATCAAATGAAACAAATCGAGCAGCGCACGGCGGCCAGACTCAGGCAGCCACCAGACGTCCCGCTGGCCGACCGACTCGATGCCGCGCGCCTTCCGAGGCGGCACAGCGCGGAGCGCCTCCTCCAGCTGGTCCAGGGTGAGGGGCTCCATCTCGTCCTGAAGCGCCAGCCGCCGAGCCCGCTGCAGCACGCGGAGGAGGAGGAGGAGGAGGAGGAGGAGGAGGAGGGAGGAGGAGGAGGAGGAGGAGGGGAGGAGAGGAGGAGGAGGAAAGAAGAGGTGAGGAGGAGGAGGAGGAGGAGGAGGAGGGAGGGGGGTGGGAAAAAGGAAGGGGGGGGAGGGAAGGGGGGGGGGAGGAGGAGGAGGAGGAGGGAGGAGAGGAGGAGGAGGAGGAGGAGGAGGGGGAGGAGGAGGAGGAGGAGGGAGGAGGAGGAGGAGGAGGAGGAGAGGAGGAGGAGGAGGAGGAGGAGGAGGAGCGAGGCGAAGGAGGCGGAGGAAGAAAGAGGAGGAGGAGGAGGAGGAGGAGGAGGAGGAGGAGGAGGGAGGAGGAGTGAGGAGGAGGAGGAGGAGGAGGGAGGAGGAGGGGAGCGAGGAGGAGGAGGAGGAGGAGGAGAGGAGGTGAGGAGGAGGGAGGAGGGACGGGAGGGAAGGGAGGGAGGTGAGGGAGGGAGGATGCGAGGAGCAGGAGGGGCTGCGACGGACAGAGCGGCATGCGTCGCGAGGGTCTCAGGCCACGATCCGCTCGGTACAGGTGTGGACCTGGTCGGCGCGACGCTCGCTGCCCAGGGCAGATCGCAGCCCTCCTCCGCACGGAAACTGTCGAGGACCCTTGGAGTGGGTTTGCACGATTCCCCAGGGAGGAGGAGGAGAAGGATGAGGAGGAGGAAGGGGAAGGAGGAGGAGAGAGGAGAGAGGAGGAGGAGGAGGAATAAGGAGGAAGGAGGGGGAGGAGGGGAGGAGGGGAGGAGGAGGAGGCGGAGGAGGAGGTAGGAGGAGAGAGGGAGGAGGAGGAGGAGGAGGAGGAGGAGGAGGAGGAGTTAGTGAGGAGGAGGGAGGAGGGAGGGAGAGGGAAAGGGAGGGAGGGAGGGAGGGAGGGAGGGGAGGGAGGGAGGAGCGAGGAGCAGGAGGGGCTGCGACGGAGAGCGGCATGCGTCGCGAGGGTCTCAGGCCAAGATCCGCTCGGTACAGGTGTGGCCCTGGTCGGCGCGACGCTCCGCTGCCCGGGCAGATCGCAGCCTCCTCCGCACGGAAACTGTCGAGACCCTTGGAGTGGGTGCACGGATTCCCCCGGGAGGAGGAGGAGAAGGAGGAGGAGGAGGAGGAGGAAGGAGGAGGAGGAGGAGGAGGAGGAGGAGGAGGAGGGAGGATAGGAGGAGGAGGAGGGAGGAGAGGAGGAGGAGGAGGAGGAGGAGGAGGAGGAGGAGGAGGACGTGAGGAGGGAGGGAGGAGGGAGGGAGGGAGTGAGGGAGGGAGGGGAGGAGGGAGGAGCGAGGAGCAGGAGGGCCCTGCGACGGAGGGCGCATGCGTTGCGAGGGCTCGGCCAAGATCCGCTCGGTACAGGTGTGGCCCTGGTCGGCCGGCGACGCTCCGCTGCCCGGGCAGGATCGCAGCCCCTCCGCACGACAACTGCGAGACCCTTGGAGTGGGTGCACGGATTCCCCGGGGAGGAGGAGGAGAGGAGGAGGAGGAGGAGGAGGGAGGAGGAGGAGGAAGGAGGAGGAGGAGGAGGAGAGGAATAGGAGGAGGAGGAGGAGGAGGGAGTGAGAAGGAGGAGGGGAGGAGGCGGAATGAGGAGGAGGAGGAGGGAGGTGGTGGAGGAGGGACGAGGAGAGGAGGAGGAGGAGGGAGGAGGAGGAGGAGGAGGAGGAGGAGGAGGAGGAGGACAGGCCCCCTAAGCCCTTCGGAGGAACCCTCCAGGCGTGGGTGGCCCGATGCATCTTGCACCGCACGTCGGGGGCGGGACGGCGGTCAAGGAGGCGCCCGAGACCGCTGACCGCCTCCCGATTGTCCATGAAGACATGCACCGGCCGTTCGGCCACGGCCACGAGGTGCGAAGGGCCCGGGAGAGAGAGAGCGAGAGAGAGAGAGAGACAGACAGAGAAAGAGAGAGAGAGAGAGCGCGAGACAGAGATAGAGAGAGAGAGAGAGAAGTGGAAGAGATTGGGAAGGGCTTCCCCTGTCCGGCAACCAACCCTTGAACTTGTCATCGAAGGGTCTTTCCAACTCAGAGGGCGTGTTCGGCGGCGGGGGGGGGAAATATTCGAGGAGCTTCATTGAAGGGGCCCCAGGACACACAAATAAATACACACAAATAAAAATATTCACCATATTTTCCAATATTTTCTGGGTTTTGGTCTTCCCGCCCACTTCCCATATTTCCCATATTTTCTGGAGGATCGAGGATTAATTGTGTCTGTGTGTTTTTTCCTCTCCTGATTCATCACCTCCTCCTTCTCCTCCCCTCCCACTCGCCCCACCTTCTCTCACTCCCCCCATCCTCCCCCTGCGCACCCTCCTCCGCCTGCTCAGGCCTTCTCGTCCCCCTCTTCTGGCAATCCATGCTCTTCACCCGCTCCTCGGCCCACCGTCACCACTGAGCCACGCATCCGGAAGGACGCGTGGGCGGAAGACTGTGCGACTGGCAGCATTACGTGAAGACCAGAGGGAATGCCTTGCAGAAGGGTTGCGTGCACACGGATACTCGACGGTGAAAAAGAAAAGCGAAACGCATCGGCACACCCTTCGGCAATTACTTTTCTGCACACCTCCCAAAGTAACTCGAGGAAACTGCGTCATTCATCCCACAGAGCACTGCGCCCACGATATTCGCCAGCGTGGCAATGCGGTCCGCTGCAACTTTTATTCGGACCACGGGTCGGGCCGACAAAGAAAAGCGGGCCAAACAAAAAGCAGAAACGGGCCGGAGAGCGAGGAGCCGAGGAGCGAGATGATGAAGAATAATTGGTTGACTGGTGTATCGAGTTACAGTGAGAAGGTAGAGGTACTTTTGGACCCTCCTTTATGGACGTCTTCGTTGGCCGAGGGCCCATCGAGGAGTCCTCGGCCCCCTCCGAAGCCTGAGCGGCAGAAAGTGGAAAAGTGGTGGGGACCCATACGACCGTGGACCCGCGCTCAGCACCTTTCCGCGGCGCGCGCACCTCCGAGGCCGCCCGCGGTTCCCGGCGGAAGAGCGAGGGGCTCAGCGATCTCGACGTTCGGGATCCTTCGCGGCCAGGGGGCGTCAATTTCAACTTCCTCCTCCTGCTCCTCGCCCTCCTCCTCGCCCTCGTCGTCGTCCTCCTCCTCACTTTCTCTTCCTCCTTCTCCTCTCCTCCTTCTCTTCCTCCTCCTCCTCCTCCCCCTCCTCCTCCTCCTCCTCCTCCTTCTCCTCTTCCCCCGCCTTCTCCCTCCCCTCCTGCCACCGCCCTGTTCCTCCTCTTCCTGCTCCTGCTCACACACACACACCACACTGCGAACCCAGGGTACCAAAAGGCCGAGCCTAAGAGAATCGCGTTACTCTCATAAGCCGACTGTATCCTTGCTCATGGTGGTCCTTCTCCTCCTTCTCCTCCTCCTTCATCTTCATCATCCTCATCCTCATCCTCATCCTCATCCTCATCCTCATCCTCATCCTCATCCTCATCCTCATCCTCATCATCATCATCATCCCTCAAGACGTCATGTTACTTTCCGGACGTGGGCGACGTGGTACCCCAGAGGCTGAAATTAACAAAACACCGGCCGCTCCATTTTCTTCGGAGCCTTGGAACTCTGCCTCAGCCAAGCCCGACAGGACTCGCTCTCTCTCTCTCTCTCGTTCTCTCTCTCTCTCTCACTCTCTTCTTTCATTCACCATCATTCTTCATCCCTTGCTCTCCATTCCTCATTCCTCCTCCTTCTCCTCCCCTTCTGCCCGTCCTCTTACTATCCTGGTCCTCGCTCGGTATCCTCATGCAGCTGGTCCAGGGCCTTCTGGGCCTCCCCAAACCGCTTGAGGATCCCGAGCGAGGCGTCGTCAAGGTCGCCTCCACCCGTGACCAGATAAACGGATCCCATGAGAAAGCCCCCTGCGACGAGCCCATTGATCCAGCATAGACTGACGCGCTGAGGAAACCCATGGCATCTGAAGGAAGGGGGCCTTGCCGAGGCCGATGTGAGGCCGTGTGGCCACAACAACCCCAAACGAACGGCCTCCAGCCGAGCCGAGTCGAACCAGTACTAGAGAGTTCTTCGCCATGGCCTGTCGTCAGCCGAACGAACGCGAACCTCGAGTAGCAAAAACGAACTCCCTACGGACTCGGCTCTGAGGAACAGCTGACAGCCGGTCTGGCACGTGGCATTCCGCACGCGCAAGCCCGCCCCCTCGCGGGGCCTCGCCCGGCGCCGCTGGACTCGGTCACGGTGGCCCCAAGGGCCCGGCTGCCAGATGTGAAGGGGAACTGATACACACAAATAAGTAGACACAAATAACAAGATTCCCCATGTTTTCCTGTATTTTCTAGGTTTTTGTCTTCCCCCCCACTTCCCATATTTTCCCATATTTTTGGGGGATCGACGATTAATTGTGTCTGTGATTTTTTTTTCCCTCCTGAAGATGGCGCACCTCGGCAACGACGGCGATCCCGGAGGGGCCGGCCCGCCCAGCCAGGGCACCAGCGCGCCTCTTCCTCGAGCCACGGGAGCGGGGGCCGGGGGCCGGCGCGTGGCATTCTGTGCCACGGGTGCCCAGCACTCCCGCGCGGCCGGGCGCGAGCCCAGGCCGAGCCGACAGGCCCTGCTTACAGTCGGCCTGGACTGGACAGGACACGCGAGAGGACACAGGACTCTTCCGAGAGCCACATTGCCACAGGAGTGTAAGAAGGCACGTGTCGCGAGGCACAGGACACAAGGGTACCCTTGAGCTGGCAGGGTCGACCTACTAATCCGGGCCGACTGTATGCCAGGTCATGAATGCCGAACGCTCCCGCGCGGCTGGACGCGGGCCTGGGCCGAGCCGGCGGGCCTCGGTTATAGGGCGAGATGCTCCTGCTGCGGCCGCCGGCCTGCGCCCGCTGCATTGCCCAGGCCCCTGCAAACGGGGCGTTAGTAAACGGGTCGGAAGCTGAGGGTGCGCTTTCAATGGTGCTTTCAAGGAACTGATGGTGTTTTCAAAGAACTGACTTGCTGCGCACAAGTGCGAGGTAAACCCCCCCGCCCAGAGTTATGACGATGTGTCGACGTTTTCGCCGTCCCGATGTCTCACGCACCAGTGCGAGGTACACGCCCTGTCGCCCTGTTCTCGCTTGAAGGGGCCTCTCAGCTACCACCCCATTTACTGATGCCCCGCTTGCCAGGGGCTTGGCCTGCCGCGCCCACCCACCACCATGGCCACCCGCTGTCGCCGGCGCCGGCTGGACCTCGGGGTCTCCGGGCGTGGAGCGGCTGTGCTGCAGAGCCCCTGGGGCGCTGGCTGTGGCGGGGCCCTGCATGGCGGCGGGAACGGCTTCACGAACAAAATCGTCCTTCCCTGCGTCAATGGCCTCCGCCGCTGCATGGCCACGAGCCGCGCTTCGTGCTTCGACCGGCTGCCTTCCCGCATGAGGTCGTCGTCGAGCTGCTGAGCTCACGCCATCCCGTCAGGGTGCGGACCCAGACCTCCGGCGTCTCGATCTTTTCGAACACGGGCCCCCGACCTCTCGACCACTTCCCCGTGACCGTTTTTTTTTACCGGCAACGGGGATTACCTAAATGAGGGGTGAAGACTACTGGCTCAAAAGGAGGGCCGAAATCCTCCCCAGACATCTGGCATCTCGGAAAAATCGAGGAGGAAATTTCTCATTGTTCTCGGCCTCCTGGGGCCCTCACCGGGCCTCGGAACCGTCAAAAAACGGCTCGCGAAGAAAGACTGGTCCCAGGGAAGACGACGAACGCCACCCGCCCAAGAGGTGCGAGGAGGCACGCCACCACCGGCACGCGCACCACCAGGGGCAGGCCCCATGGCAAGCGCGAAGCCTGCTGCCGCCCCCGCTGGAGCAGCCGCTGCGGGTTCGGCGGGCGCCGAAAAGGGGCGACAAACCTATGGGGAGCGGGGCCATGCGGGGGCGGCGTCCCTCGTCGGGGCCGGCCCTCCCCTCGCTTTTCATCAATCGTTTCCTCTTCCCTCCTTTCCTCCTCCCTCCTTTCCTCCTCCCTCCCTTCCTACATGCGTTCCTCCCCCCCCGTTTCCTCCTACGTGCTCGCTCATCGCCTCCCGTTTCCTCGTGTTTCAGCTCTTTGTTTGCCTCCTCCTCCTTCTCCTCCACCTCCTCCTGTAACTTGGACAGGGTCGCCCGTCCTGGCAGTCGTATAGGCCTACTACGACATTTTCTTAGAACCAACATGCTCGAAGCACAAAAGCGACGTTCTGAGAACGCAAACCCGGTACATGAAAGCATATACATTCAAATCGACACGTTCTAAGAGCAGCTCGGGCAAACCATAACCATGTTTTGAATATTTGTTTGTGGGCCTGTTGGCAAGCCTGGCGATTCCGAGGTGGGGGGCGCTCTGAGACATCGAGAGAACATGCTGAAACCCGCGCGCCCGCCCAGCCCGAAACTCTGGGGGGGTCAGGGACCATCGAGCTGGGGCGGGGTGGTTTTGGAATGCAAGCGCTGACTCGTTTCCTCCTATGTCCTCCTCTTAATGTCAGCTTGCGATTAACAAATCCGTGGGGGGCGCGTGTTAAACAAACAATTCCCCTGCTCGGGCGAATTGCGGGATGGTGCCCGCCAGATTGAGCATCAACGGGGCGGCGCCGGTGATTGGCGCCGACGCCAGGCCGCCAACGAGAAGGCGACAGACAGCACAGACTGGGAGGCAAAGGCGGCAGAAGCAGGGACCGTGAGCCAGGGCGACACCTGTTTAAAATGAAGAAGAACTGTTGTCGGCGCTCGCCCCCGCACTTTCCGTTTTTTTTTTTCGGTCGAACCGATATTTTGTTTTGCCCTGGCCGCAGCAAGGGGGGCGCCTGCTGCCTCGGGGGCCTGCGAGCAAGGCGGGCCAGATGGCGACGGCGGCGACGACGACGACGCACTGCGGATGCCCAGGTGTGTGTGTGTGTGTGTGTGTGTGTGTGTGTGCGTGTGCTGCGCAGGCCCGCTGTAGTCGACGACGACGACGACGCCGACGAAGAACACGACGACGATGACAAGGACGACGAAGAAGACGACGACGACGGCGGCCGCGACGACGACGACGACGACGTCGTGACGACGACCACGACGCCTGAGAGGGGGGAAGAAATTCGCCTCGGATGTATACGACCCCGATAACAACTGCTATACGGAAGGCAATCGTTTTCAGGCTGTCATGCAGAGGGGGTGCACGATCCCCTCGGCGGCGTCAGCGACCTCCTGGCCCCCTGGCGCGCGTGATTAAGAAAAATTCGCCCCCCGCGGGGTCTATTCATCAGCCCCGGGGGGGGGGATCCGGTCATTTGTTAATCGCAAGCTGACATTACTTCTCTTCCTCCTCCTCCTCCTCCTCCTCCTCATCCCCTTCCTCCTGTGAGGAGAGCGCGGTGCCCCCCAGTCCGGGCGTGGCGCAGTCGCTCCGCTGCTCCACGTCGATGAACGTGTTGCGGACCACGGCCCGGAAGCACGCCCTCCCGAGCCTCTGGGGGAAAGGGGGGAAGCTCGCTGGCGCCGGCAGGGCAAGGGAGGGGAGAAACCTGCAGAACCTTCAAGGTTAATGCGTCGTCGCCTGTCCGGCCCCACCGCCCAAGCCAAAAACCAAGGGGAGGAAATGAAAAGGACATGGGGGGGGGGGGGGGGGAAATGTCGATGAACGTGTTGCGATCGCGGGGGCGACTGTGTCGATGGACCAAGATGACAAAATCCTGCGATCCATCAGGTGGCCGCGCCGCGAATCGCCCTGTGGCTGACCCGGCTGGTCTGCACTGAGCCAAAGCAGAACTGGCGGAGGCGGCGCGCTGCCTCCTCTGCCTCCCGCTGCTCCTGCGGCTCCGCGTGCACTTTGTCCTCGTCCTCGCCCTCATCGCATCTCCTTGCCCAGGCTGGATGGGATTGTGGATGCCATGACAATGGACACCCGAACAATCCAATCGTTGAGTAAGAGATGTGTTGCACATGTCGTAAACTGTTGAAAAGTGCTTTACATAGTTTTTACATGCTTAAGACATGTTGAAACATGTTGTAAACATCTGAACATTATTCGAAACATGCTTCCTCTCCATTGATCGCCGTCCACAAGGCAGAGAGGACGGGGGGAGGAGGCTGGTCGTGGCACGACGGCTGGCGCATCGCAGCCTGCTGTTCCTGGCAAGTTTGCGCGGCCGGCACGGCGCCGGCAAAGAGGTCCCTGATTGTTCGTGTCGGCGAGGGAGTCGGCTGACAGGCGTCCTCGACGCCCTCGTCCTCGCCCTCGCCCTCCTCCACGTCCTCCGCGGGAGGGCGGATGGGAGGAAGGGTCTGCTCGAGGCAGCAGTCTGCCCTGCAGCGCGGGCCGTTTGGCGAGCGCCGCCAGCGACTGCCGCTGCTCGCTCTCTGCCGCGAGGCTGACGAAGATGTCCCAGCAGCGCTTCAGGATACTGTCCTTGAAGCGCAGGAGGTCCAGGGCCAATCTCCCGCGCTCCTTCGCGGACGCGCGGCGGCCAGCGTGCGACTGGCTGGCTGGGGGGTCCCAACCAGCCCGCGTCCACCCGTCGAGTGGCAAGGCGGGCGGTTCTTGTTCCGGCAAGTGCTTGCTGATGGTCGTCTGGCAGAGGCCCCGCCGCTGCCGCTCGTGCGTCGCGGCGCTGTAACGTGAGGTGCCGCGTCGTGGCCGGCGCGTGGAACGCGGGGCAATCGTGCGCCACTCTCGCTTGAGCCGTCCTGGAGCCTCGAGGCTGTCGAGGGGGGGAAGGGGCTGGTCATCCCATGGCGCGCGGAGGTCCCTGGGCCAGGCTCTCAAGCCTCGTCTCCCAGTATAAGTGTGTATGTATATATATATATATACGCACATGTATATAGAGCTACACGCAAATAGCATAATAAGAACGCGCGGTAAGGACGCAGAGGTTGGAGTGCCATGTTGGCGTTTTCGAGCGGGGTTGGCCAGCGAAGGTGGCCAAGGGTGGGCCGAATGGGCAAGGATGCACAAGCAACTCTGGAAATCTGCTCATCCTCACTGTGCGACCTGTCACACACATATATATATATACACCTACATACATGCATACTCGTTATATATATATATGTGTGTCTAAAGATCTACGTACACATATGCACGTACGTGTGTGCAACTACGTGTGTGCATATATCTATACACATGTTTTGTTGTTCTCTCTCACTCTCTCGCTCTCTCTCCCTCCCATGCTCTTGCGTGCCCCTGCCCCTGCCCCTGCCTGCCCCTGAGGAGGCCAACCCTCCCGAGCGCCCGGGCGCCTGTCGCTGTCCGACGTGGGGGACGTCGAGGCAGCAGACGACACCCACAAGCCCCGCCTCTGTGGCGTTCCTCGCGCCGTGGGCCGGCGCTCGAGGCCCGCGGCGCGTGCCGGCTGCTGCTCGTCGCCCCTGTCCGCAGCCACGCGCCCCTGCTCCAGCTCCTCGCTCTTCTGCGCCTCCTTCTCTGCTTCGCCCCTCCCCCGCCCCGTCTTCCTGCCACTTCTTCGACGCCGCTCCTATGCACATCCTCCTGCTCCGCTTCCTCAGCCCCCTTGCCTACTTCTCCTTCTTCTCCTCCTCCTCCTCCGCCTCGTCCTTCTCTCTCACCCGTATCCTCGGCCTCAGGCCAATTCTCCATCACGTTTGCTTGTAATCACCCCTCCCACCACAACAAGCAGGCGTGTTGGCAGGGCACCTCAGGCGCTTCGTACACATAGACCACCCTTTGGGTGATAAAGAGGTTTGAGGGGGGAACTTCATCATTGAATTGCATCGGACAGACGCTCCAAATCACGAGCAGGCACACATCGGAACGTCAGCACATATGTTTTTATCAATGTAGGAATGTGCATGTGTCTGCATATGTCATGATGCATATCTGTGTAGAATCATGTGTATGGCCACGCATATATATATATATATGTGTATATATACGCATACAAACATATATGTATGAATATATGGCAGATATATGAATTTATGCATAATCATGTATATACACATTTTCGTTACAACCGTTAATATCTCCTATCGTTACACCTGTCAATATCATAATCGATACAAACACTAGGAACACCACCAACACAACAATCCGGAACGCAGTCGAGATACCACCGGGACAATCTCTCCATATCTAAGATATGAACACATGGACGTACATGTTTACCGATCTGTCTCATTAACTACCGGTCTCACTATGGATGTATCTGTCGACCTCATTGTTCTCCATTTACCGGGAGAAACGTCGGGACGAAAGCTGGGACAACATGACATCCATCGGGACAACGACTCCATCGATCCATCCAAGTACATATCGGTATCAATACCTGGCGATCTCATTATCTACCTGTCGATACTACTTCGCAGATATCTGTCGATCTCACTGTCATCACCGTAGGTCTCTGGAGTCTACGAACCTCATACTGTTTTCAACCATCGGGACAACCATCAGGCCAACCATCGGGACAACCATCGGGACAAGCATCGGGGCATCCATCGGGACAGTCAACGGGACAGCCAACTGAGCAGTTATCGGGACAACCGAGGGAGCAACCACCAAGACAACCATCGCTGCATCAATCGGGACAAGACCGTCGGGACAACCGATGGATCAAACATGGAACCACCAGGAGCCACGGACCCGACACGGGGCGGCGACTCATGTTGTCTGACTTAGCCTTCATCACGGCAAGGATAAAAGCATCGTCGCCTCGCCTCGCCCGCACGCAGGTCACGCGCGCAACGATTAGAATTCCCGATTCGGGCATTTCGCGTGTCACTTCGGTCCCAGCCCCCCTCAACCTCTGATGATAGAAAAATAATGCGATGCCAGCGCTCACCATAACCGAATAGAACAGACGTGTGACGGGCCGTTTGCAAAACGTGTTTCTCGCATGAACGCCGTGCGCGTACAGTCTTTCCCACGCTCCCAATGAATTACGTGGAGCCACGGCCGTTTTCGTACTATTGTCCTCGCCCTAGCGCCGAGCACATTCCTTTGACCTTTCCAACAACTGCACGCAAGAAAGGCGGTTCCTTTTCACAGTGTCCCTCTCGCCGGAGGCGCCTTTACACATCATGGCTACACGCCTAAAGTCTCCAACAACTGTACAAACGGAGCGCACTCTCATTTTAAACTGTGGTTCCCGCTTAGAACGTCTTACAGGTTGCGAATACCAGCCAAGCTTCACACTTCCTCTTGCCGTTCGTGAAGGGAGGACTGGCTGTATAGACCTATGAAGGGGTGCAACTGAGATTGAGGCGTGTACTGCAGCATCGACGGCGTCTGATGGGATACTGGTCGTCCTCGCCCTCCTCCTCCTCCTCGCTCCCCTCCTCCTCCTCGTCCTCCTCGTCCTTGCTCCTTATCACCGTCCACCAAACTCATACTCCTGTTCTCCTGTTCTCCGTCTGTTCATGCTGCGGCTGCTGTTGCAGCGCGGTCGCATGCAGGCCCGGCTTCAGCAGCGGTGGGAGTCCCAGGGCGAAAGCAAATCGGCAGCTGCAGACGCGAAGTGTACCATGCGCCCGCACGCCAACGTGGCAAGAGGAGGAGGAGGAGGAGGAGGAGGAGGAGGAGGAGGAGGAGGAGGAAGATGCTGAGACGGAGTGAAAGGATGAGACAGAGGAGGAGGAGTCGAGGATCCACCAGGGCATCATGGAGGTGGCAACCAGCGTGCTGCAGCGCATTTTCCAAGTGTCGAAACCCGTGGTGCTGCCCCTCCGCCGCTTATTCTTAGGTCGGGCATGTCCCCCCACAGGGGGATTCAGGACGAAGAATAAAAAATGCACAAAACATATTCAAGCATAGTCAAAAAATGCTCAAAACATTGTCCCCAGGCTAGTTTTGACTATTTCTGAATGTTCCTCCAGTAGAGGGACAGGCCGGACTTAAGCTTGATTGCGCCCCTCCTCATTTTCAACCAGAATGTGCCTGACCGTACTCCAGACATTGCCTGTGAAAATCTTGGCCCCCCGGCACCTCGGGCGTCTCACCTGGCCATAGCGGCTCGATCAGGCATCACACCCACGAGCGAGGTGCCCACAGAAGATGCAGAGGACAACTGGGGGGACGAACAGGGCGAGCGAGATGCATCGCGATTGAAAACAAGTCCTGGGTCCCTCGAGAAATCCGCCGACCCCTTAGGGTCACGGAGCGTGAGATGCTTCCCCCTCCCCAAACCCCTCCCCCGGGAGCCCGGTCCGGCCGGTTTGGAGCATCAGGGGGCCCCAAAACGGGCCAAGAGGGCCCCAAAAGGCCCTCCGGAAGGTCCAAGAGGGCTACGAGTCGCCGAAAGATCGCTCCAAGACGTCCAAGATCGCCTCCAGACGGTCCCAGAGGCCCCCCAAACGCCCCAAGAATCACCAAGAGGCGTCCCAAGAGGCCCTCCAGAAGCAACAATCGTCCCATTCTTCAAGGAAAACGTATATTTTTAGCACACTCGCCTCTTGGGCTTTCACGAGGCCCACAACGGTCCAAGAAGCCTTTAAGATCGACCCAAGATAGCCCAAGAGGCCCCCAAGAGGGCTCCAAGACGTCCCAAGAGGGCCCCAAGACGGCCCCAGAAGCTTCCAAAACGACGCAGAAGGGCCCCAGGATTGCCCCAAGAGGAGGCCCAGAGGGGGAACCCGAATGAACATTTCGAGCACTCGGCCCTGAAAAAACCAGAGGAGGCGCCAATGGGCCCCCAAGAGGCTCCCACGAGGCCCCCGAGAGGCCCCAAAGAGGTCCTAGAGGCTTCAAAATGGCTCCCAAGAGGCCTTCATGGTGCTGCCAGGAGAGCCCAGAGAAGCCCAAGAGCAGAGCGGCGATCCGCCAACCGCCCCCGACGAAATCCAAAGAAGCTGAAACCCAAAAATTCCCCAGAAACCGTTCCGCAAACTCCGCTCTTCACTCTTACTGCCGCTCCAAAGGGGTCGGCGGTGCGGCGTCAGCCAATGAATCTCTTTTTGGCCAGCCGGGCACGACTGGCACCTGCTGCGCAGAAGGAGAAGGACCACAATCGGCGATGGACAAACCTCCCTTTAGTAAACCTCCCCTTAGTGAAAACGGTCTGGGACCAAAACCGACGGACCTGGACCCGCAAAAGTGACGGCCGCAACGCCCTCTCGCGAAACGAAAACGGCCAATTCCTTCATCGACGTGTCAAGGTAGGAGGTCTGTCCACCCCCGATTTTTGGCCAGCCGGGCACGACTGGCACCTGCTGCGCAGAGGGAGAAGGACCACAACGAGAGCAAGGGAGTCACGCAGGCGAACCTACAGGCGTATCTCAGGAGGCGGTTTCGGTGCAGAGATGGGAAGAGGAGGCTCAGGTCGGGCACGTCCCCCTTAAAGGCGGATTTAGGACGACAAATAAAACATATTCAAACAATGCTCGAGCATAGTCAACAGATGCTAAAAAATCGTCCCCAGATATTTCTGAATATTCCTCCTGTAGAGGGACAGGCCCGACGTAAGAGCAGGCAAGGCAAACGCTCGTTGGCGTTCGCAGCCGAGCTGGGCCGAAGCCAGGGAGAACGGCGACGAGGAGCAGAAATGGTCAGGAGCGGGAAGACAGACAAGGATGAGGAAGACGAGCGTACGGGATGAAAAGAGGTAGAGGACGAGTGCGACGACGGGCAACGCTGCGGCGAAACATCGCCCCGTTGGAAGTGGACGCCATAACAAGTTGAACCGTGGTCAATACTGCAGCGCTACCAACACTGCGAAGGACCGAGAACGGCCTGATGACAAAACGGAGTACTGCAACCACGAAGCTTGACATCCTGTGCGCGAGCCAAACAAGACCTGCGAAGGAGGGGGGTGGCACCGGCACAGCGCAGTACCAAAGGAGAGAGGAGCGTGGCACGCATACCGTGCAACCGCATGTGGAGAGGGCGGGCGAGGATGAGGACGAAAGGGTTGGGAGAGGAGCGCGGAGTGAGGAGCAGGAGGAGGAGGAAGGACGAACGAGAAAAGCCTGAGGACCCTGACGAAGACGACGGACGAGTTCTGGGACGAGGGCGAGCAATAACGGCGGCGGCGGCCGCGGCGGAAAGGCGTTGTGGGTGGCGGGCGTTCCTGCGCTCGATGTGGCCCCCGCCGTGCTGATCTCGCTGGCGCCCCTGCCCGGACCAGGCACTCGTCATCCTGATCGTCCTCGTCATCGTCGCCCTCCTCCTCCTCCTCCTCCTCCTCCTCCTCCTCCTATTCCTCTTGCTCCTCCTCCTCCTCCTCCTCCTCCTCCTCCTCCTCCTCCCCCTCCTCCCCCGACTCCTCTTCGTCCAGCTCCCCTCCACCCACACCAGCGCTCCCTTGAGCCACCCTCGACCAGCCCATCGTGCGGCCCCACGGGCCCCCCAAGGCATAAACATCACATTGATGGACTCATTGATGGACCAACGCGCTGCCCACCGAAGCCCAGCCATGTCAAGTGGCGCAAGCTGCAATCGCCCTGCGACGAGTCGAGCAGCTCGCTCAGAGTCTGGGCAAGCCGCGGTCCACTTGTGCCGTCGACTCACTGGGAAATCGGCGAATCTCCGCTGGAAGCTGCGGCCAGCCGCTGGGTCCCCGTAGCGGCCCCCGCCGCTCCGTCCTCTACCCCGTCTGAGAGCGCAACGCTGGCGTCCCACCCTCCCGCCCCCAACACCCACATATACACTGACTAACGTATGACCCAATCCACCAAGATCCCACCCTCAGACGTCATAAGCATGAGCGCTTCCCGTCGTGCCCTCCCTTCTTCACCGACTGCGGCAGAGCCAGAAGCACAACTAGGCCCAATGCGTCGAGAGGTGCTTGAAACACTGGGCGGCGTGCCAGAAATGACTCATATTCGTCACGGCCGCACGGAAGCCAGCGCCCAGAGTGACCTGCTACCGAGGATACAACACTTGTTCCCCCACACAATTCTTGGGAGGAGAAGGAGGAAAGCTGAGGGAACGAAGCGGGCAGAAGGGATGACCGCGTCAAAACAGGTACCAGGGCAACCTGAGGGAACGCCCACACCCAAACTGAGACAACTTGACAGTCTGGCCATGCCCTCGAGGTTCGCCGATCTCGAGGGTGCAGTACTGCGTCCTCCGATCTCGAGGTTCACACTGGAGGGCCGCATGCTGCACGTAGCAGACTACACCCGCGGGGTGATCTTCCAGTGCAGCAAGCGTTGCGCACACTCGAAGCTCAGATATCTACGAACCCTCGCGAAGGAGTGCCCACCCCTCACATTCGAAGGAGCTCGGTATTTCTGGCATCAGTTCAACACAGGCCAACACCCAAATGATTCAGCTGGGCCAGCACAGCCACTAGATCAACACTTCTCGATGTCTGCCCTCTTCCCTCCCCTGATTGTGTCGGCCCGAGCCCGAGCCCGACTCACAACGCCACACGTTTCCTCCTTATCGCATCTTCCTCTGGTCGTACCCATTCTCCCTCCCCCTCCCCCTCCCGCTTCACTTCTCTAACGACCTCGACGGCCCGGACCGCTTTCCATTACAATCGCTGCCCGTGCGCGTAGTCGCAGGCACGTGTGCGTAGTCGCACGCACGTTCCCGTCGCATCCTCCGTGTAGCGAGAATTCCTCCCCATCACTCGTCGTGCTCCCTCCTTCTTCCCATACTCCCCCTGAGCTCCCGTCTTCCTCACCCCTACCTGTCACCCCGCCTCCACCCTTGGGGTGGCAACCCTCCTTCCCTGGCGCGCATACTCGTTCACCTCCGTGCTTTTCGATTTCTACGCTCCTAGTGCACCTTTGGGAGACCTTGCCATGCGACGGCTAGCGCAGTGTCGCATACCCAATTTCAATGCAGGTACCTTACGCGGCATTCTGGACAAACCATTGTCGCATCGCGCTAACAAGAGGTCAGGGAGCAACGAGCCCTGGGACACTGTACGTCCTGTGGCTCTTGAGCCATTCCCCACTGGGATCTCAGGCAACCGCTACACTCCTAGCCAAGCTTGATAACAAGAGCGCCTAACGCGGAGTCTTCGGATATTGTCCGGTCCGCGGCCTTAGAGTCCTGGCCGCTGCTCGGCCGCCAGGCAAGCCTTGAAACTCCGACAGATCAGTAACAATCGCGACAATCAGGAGGACCTCCTTTTTTCGCGGTCCAGCTTTCGCTTCAAAAAGGCCTTTCGATGTACCACGTTCCCTGCCGGCAGTGCCACGCCCATCTCGGACTCCCAGATATTGGCTGCGCGCACAAGGGGGCAGAGGGAGGGGGGAAAGCTTCTTAGGAGGCTGCTTCTTAGTAGGCGCGGGCCTTGCATCTACAGACAAGTCCCGCGCCTTCTGAGAAGCAGGGGTGCTTTTAAGAAGCCTTCCCCCGCCCCTGCCCCCCTCTGCGCGCCGCCAAAAGTCTTCTCTAGACGGCCCGCTCTATCCACCGTGCTTCTGCTGGGTTGGATCCGCAGCTGTCCATCGGCGAGCCTCGGGCGCCCCCACCAGGCCTAAGCGCACTGATGATCATCTCCTCCTCCTCCTCCGCCTCCTCCTATTCCTCTCCGCGGTAATTATCCACGTCGTCATCGCCTTCCTCCTCCTCCTCCTCCTCCTCCTCAACCTCCTCCTCCTCCTCCTCAACCTCCTCCTCCTCCTCTTCCTCCTCCTCCTCCTGCTCCTCCTCCCCTTCTTCGTCCTGCTCGCCCATCTCTTCCTCACTGTTTTTTCCTCCTCGCCCTCCTTGTCCTCTTCATCCTCGTCGACATCATCCGCTTTCTCCCTGTCCACCTCATGCTTGACCTCTCCTCCTCCCACCCCTTCCCCCATGTTCCCCTCTTCTCCCCCCCTTGAAAGATCGTCGTCGTCGTCCTCCTCCTCCTCGTCCTCCTACTCCTCGTCCTTCCTGTCACTCAGATTCGATCCTCGTTCGCACGCTGCTGGTCGTCGGCGTCCTCCGCCTCCTCCTCCTCCTCCTCCTGCCCCGCCTCCTTCTATTCCCCCCCCCTACGCCTGTCGAGCGGCAGCTCCCTCTTGCAGGGCGTCTGCGCCAGCTGGCCTGAGCCGCGGCAGACTGGCGACACGGGGGAGGGACAGTCAGGGCTAAGAGAGGGGGAGGAGGGCGGGAGGAGGAGGAGAAGCGAGGGGGGAGGAGGGGAGAGAGGGAGGAGGAGGGGAGGGGGAGAAGGAAGGGGGAGGAGGAGAGAGTGGGAGGGAGCGGGGGAGGAGGAGCAGCGAGGACAATGAGATGGTAGCCGGATGCCGGCGGGCGCGCGGCGAAGGTGAGTCAGGCGGGCCAGGAGGCGTGCATTGCTCCACTGCTCCGAGCGCGCGCCCAGGCGGCGCATGCTGGATCCCCACCAGATGATGGCAGGTCGAGGACAAATTCGGAAGAAGACCGATCGGGAACTTCTGAAACCGGCGGCTCTGGAAGATGTTTTTTTTTTCCCCCCCGGAGCGAGATGACACCACAGATGAGGAAAAAGACGAGTCTCAAATGCAACCTCTTTGTTGCACCGTACCGAGCACTCCATGCCCCTGGACCCCTTTCAAAGCAGGGACACATTCGGAAGAAGACCGATCGGGAATTTCTGAAACCGGCGGCTCTGGAAGATCTATCGGGAATCGCGGCCTTCTCAGCGTTCCGGAACGCTCTGAGAGCGTCCCAGAACGCTCTGGAAGGGATTTGCAGTCGGACCTACGACAGAAGAGCATCCTTCCAGAACAGGAGACGCTCCGCCAGCCAGACTGAAGAGCATGCGAGGGTACCCTCCCCCAGACTGCACAAGAACGCATCCAACAGACTCGAAGAACACTTGGGGGTCCCTCCCCGAACCGACCTCGATGTTATATACCTCGGTCCGACTGCATCCTCGACCTAGCCTGAGGTCGGGCATGTCCTCCTACAGGCGGATGCTGGACGAATAATTCAAAATAGCCGAAAATGCCCCCCAAATAATCAGACAATCATAGAAACATCGTCCCCAAACTATCTTATATTGTGACTGTTTTCTGGGTAGTCGAAGCCAATCTGGCGCCAATCTGGCAGGCCCAATCTGGCAAACGGGGGCAATCTGGCGAGGGAACCAACGCGAATCCAGTCTGGCGAATAACCCAAATCGTCCAGCTTGGCCGGGCCAGATTGGCCCTTGGGGCCCAATCCAATCTGACAGTCTGGCCTTCGACTACCCAGCGGATGCTGGACGAATGATTCAAAATAGCCGAAAATGCCCCCGAAATAATCAGACAATCGTAGAAACATCGTCCCCAAACTATCTTCGGGGATGGACAGACCCCCCTTTAGTAAAACGTGGTTTAGTGAAAACGACCTGAGGCCCAAACCTGGCGGGCGCAAGCCTGGAAACTAACGGCCGCGACGCCCTCTCGAGAACCGAAAACGGACAATTCACTGATCGACGTGTCACTGTTGGGGGTTCTGTCCACCCCCGGGTTCCGATGTTGCTGCTCCCTGGACCTGTCCTGGGGGCGCGCTCTGACCAGGATCTGGAGGAGCATCCAGGGGTGGCGACGAGGGCACCCCAGGACCCCCCCCCAACTGCCACAGGGGGAAGACGAGGGACAGGTAGCGGTATTTGAGGGATGAAAAAACGACCCTACCCTGGGTTACAAGTGCGTGGTCTGTAAACCTCCTGGGAACCCCCAAAGCCTAGAGCCGCCAGGACGCGGCACATCACGCAGGGTTTGCCCAGTCAGCCCACAGGAATTTCAGCGCACGGGCGCCTCGTAAACCAGGGTAGGGGCGTTTTTTCTGCCCTTGAGGTATAGGTGACTACCTACCAGACCACCCCAACCCAACCCGAAGACCCGAATTTCGGGTTGGAGGGGGGATAATATTGTGACTGTTTTTGAGAATATTCCTCGCCCCGGCCGGGGGCCCGTCGGAGGCGGGCTCCGAGAGTGGACAGTGCACCGAGGGGGGGGGGGCCTCCGCCCCTCGCGGCCCGCCTCCGCCGGAGGGGTAACCCCCCCCCCCGGGGGCCACGGCCGAGGCCCCCTCCCGGGGCGCCCAGGGCCTCCTCCTCCTCCCTCCTTCCCCCTCCTCCTCCTCCTCCTCCTCCCCCCCTCCTCCTCCGCCTCCTCCTCCTCTCCTCCTCCTCCCTCTCCTCCTCCTCCTCCTCCTCCTTCCACTCCTCCACCTCCTCCCTCTCCTCCCTCCCCTCCTCCTCCTCCTCCTCCTCCTCCTCCTCCTCCTCCTTCCTCCCTACTCCACCGTCCTCCTCCTCCTCCTCCTCCTCCGCCTCCTCCTCCTCCTCCACCACCCCTTCCTCCCTCCTCCTCCTCCTCCTCCTCCTGGCTCCTCCTCCTCTCCTCCTCCTCCGCCTCCCCTCCTCCCCTCCCCTCCTCCATCCTCCTCCTCCTCCTAACCTCCTCCTCCAGCGCACCTCCTCCTCCTCCTCCTCTCCTCCTCCTCCTCCTCCTCGCTCCATCCTCCTCCTCCTCCTCCTCCTCTTCATCGACCGGGGATGACGAGCTGGCACCCCGGGTGAGGGGCGGGAGACGAGCTCTCGAGGCAGCGCCCCGGGCCAACACGGCAGCAAGCACGGCTGCCGCCACCTCGCTCCGTCCACCTCATCCCCGAGGCCCCAGCCTCCCCCAGCACTGGCAGATAGACGAGGGAGGAGGAGGAGGAGGAGGAGGAGGAGGAGGAGGAGGAGGAGGAGGAGGAGGAGAGGAGGAGGAGGAGGAGGAGGAGGAGGAGGAGGAGGAGGAGGAGAAGGAGGAGGAGGAGAGGGAGGACTTCCAGGACTTCCGCCATCACGTAGTGATAACCAGGCTTAAGCTCAGCACTTGGGAAACAGGCCGCGATCAATCCTGTCAAGATAAGGAGGAGGAGGCGGAGGAGGAGGAGGAGGAGCAGGAGGAGGAGGAGCCAGGCGTAGGGTTGATCCTGAGGGTTGCAGTTACTTTTCCTTATGTTTCGCTTGTTTGTGCCCAAGGGACACTTGTAGGCGAAACTATGAGTTTCGCTGGTGGGCGATTAGCAAGCAACTCCTGCGCAAAATGTCGATGGTGCGCCGAAGTCACGGTGTGATTGGCCACTGGCGCCGTCGCCAAAATTCATATGGCCGAATGTAAATAAAACCTTGCAACCTGGGCATGTCGAAGCGGCCCCGTCGCCAAATTTTACCTTGCGGCAAGTATCAACTTGACAGTAGGAGGTTCCAAGAGCGTCTTGGAGGAATCTAGATGTAGGGTGCGGGTAGGTATTGAGGGGAGGGGAGGAGATCTGTCCCTCCAGCCCTTGCCGCTCTTGCGGCTGCTGCTGCTCTCCATCGCCCCGTCCTCGCTTCCTGCTCCCCTCCTCCCTCCGCGACCCCCTCCTTCCCCTAGCCCCCCACCAGTGTGCGGAGACGGAGGAGGAGGAGGAGAAGGAGGAGGAGGAATACATGTTCGCAGGAAGGGCAGGGTGAGGATGAGGCGAAGCAGTAAGAACAAGAGGGCGCGTGTGACGATGCTGATGCTGATGCTGCTGATGCTGATGATGCTGATGCTGATGCTGATGCTGATGCTGATGCTGATGATGATGATGATGATGCTGATGATGATGATGATGCTGATGATGATGATGATGATGATGATGATGATGATGATGATGATGATGATGATTATTATTGTGATGCTGATGATGGTGGTGATGATGATGCTAATGATGATGCTGCTGATGATGATGCTGATGCTGATGCTGATGATGATCGGGTATGGGCGGAGTGGTCTGGGAGCGTTGCTCGGCTCAGCAACCTTGCATTCGGCATGCACTGTCGCAAGGGCCCCGCGGGCCCAAGCCAAACCCAGGCGACGAGGGACGGACCCGAGACGCCAGACTGGGGCAGCCCCCCGCTATGACCCCTGGCGTCTGAGGCCACCAGGAACATCGCGGTCAGGCCGCCCCCTTGCGCCCGAGCCCTCGCGGGCTCGGCGGACGCGAGAGCCCCCAGACCCCGACGGCGGACCGCCGACGGCCGCCAGGGGGCCGTCGGCCGAGCTCTCCGAACCGCGCCCCGCGGGCCTCCTCTGCCTGCCCGCTGCTGCCGTGGCGACGCGAGCAGCGTGCGTCAGACTGCGCACTCGCGGCGCCACTTCTCGAGGCGGTGGCCCCGCCGCCTCGCCTCCGTCGTCGCGCCTCCGGCGCCACGGCGCCACGCGCCTCCGGCGCCTCCGTCCTCGCCTCCGTCGTCGCGCCCCGCCGCCTCGCGGCGCCACGCTGGGCAGGATGCCCCCGCCGCCGCGCCTCCGTCGTCCCCGTCCAGGCGCCGAGCTGCTGGCGCGCTGACGGGCGCCCCCGCCTCGGCCTCGCCGCACGGCCTCGCGGCGCCGTCTCCGGGGGGCAGGCCCGTCGGGGGCCTGGGCGGTGCACCGGCCCCGCGGGCCCGCTCCAGGACCTCGGGCCCCCCCCCCTCCGAGGCCAAGCTCCAGCTCCTGGGCGGGCAGCTCCGCGACGAGCCCAAGCTCCGTGATGAGCTCCACGGCTGGCTCCGAATCCAGGACGGTCGCGAGCTCCACAGCGCGCTCCGCGCCGAGCTCCAGCTCCAAGACGACGGGCTCCAGCCCCACGACGGGCTCCAGCTCCATCTCCCTGGCGAGCTCCGCCACGACCGGATTGGCCATGAAGGGCGGCCTTGCGGTAGGCGCCACGCGCACCGCGACGGGGGCCGCGGCGAGCACCCGCTCCATGACGGCCAGCGCCACGACAACGGGTTCCAGCTCCGAGACGACCTCCACGACGACGGGCTCCACGTCCAAGAGCGTCACGAGCTCCAGCCCCAAGACGACGAGGTCCACGTAGAGCTCCTGCCCCATGATGGCCAGCTCCACGAGGGCGGCCTCCGGCACCGAGACGATGCGGTCCCCGATGTGCCCCAGCGCCCTGCGGAGCTCCGCGACGAGCTCGAGCTCCAGGATGGCGAGGTCCCCGAGAAGCCCCACCTTCGTGACAAGCCCCGAAGAGAGCTCCAGCACCGTGACGGGCAGGTCCACGGCGACCAACTCCCGCTCCAGGGCGGCAAGGTTCGCGACGTGCCCCCACCCCGTGACGGGCAGCGCCGCGACGCCCTCCAGCTCCAGGACGGCGCGGTCCGCGACGACCCCGAGCTCCATGACGAACCCCGCGACGAGCTCCCGCTCCGTGATGACGAGGACCACGGCGGGCCCCATCCCCGCGGCGAACGTCGCAACGAGCACCACGGCTGCGCCACGGCCACCACGAGCCTCGCGGCGAGCTCCGCGGGCATGACGAGTGCCCCTACGACCAGCGCTGCGGGCGCATCCGTGCCTGGCTCCGCCTCGTCCCCCTTCGTCTCGGGGCCGCCCGCCGCGAGGGTCGGCTCCGCGGCGGCGTCTACCAGCCTCGCGGTGAGCTCCGTGGCCATGACCAGCCCGCCTGGCTCCGCTTCGCCCCCCTTCGGCTCGGAGGCGTCCGCCACGCGGGTGGGCTCCGCGGCGGTGTCCACGGCCGCGGCGTGCTCCAGGTCCTGCAAGCTGCGGTCCTTGCCCCCCGTGGCCACGGCAAGGTCCGCCTTGAGGGTCCCCACCAGCGTCGCGAGCTCTGCGCTCGCGAGGCCGTGCGGGATGTCCGACGCCTCGCCCTGCCGCTCCGACCCGAGGCTGGCAGCCGCGAGCTGCGTGCCCAGCGCGGTGGCCTCGACGAACGGCCTTGCCGCGCTGCGGAGCGGCGTGCGGGCCGTGTGCACCGCGAGCCGCTTGGCCACGCGCGGCACACCGGCGGCCTCGTGCCTCGCGGTCTCGGGCTCGGCCGTCCCCGAGGTGGCCTTGCCCGGCAGGCCTGGGAAGCGCGGCACCGTCGGGAGCCTTGGCTGCTCGGGGCGGGCCGCCCGCGGCGCCTCGGCTACCGCGCGCGCGCGCCCAGGGCGGCGGCCGATGGCCGCGCCTGCCGCTCTGCGTCCAGCGCGGCCGCGAGCGTGTCGCAGAGCTGGGACAGGGCCGAGCATCGGCTCTCCCACTTCACCACCGCGGCGTCGGCGGCGCGCACGGCCCGCGTTCGCGCTGCCGAGCGTTCAGCGCGGGTCCGTCGTCGCCGTGGGTCCGTTGGGCAGCCAGTGACGGCCGCCGCCCGTATCGCACTCCATCCCATACGGAGCGCTAGTCTCAACGCGAGGGACGGCCAGCCTGCCGCAATACTCTCTCGAGCCAAAACTATGATGATGCTGATGATGATGATGATGATGATGATGATGCTGATGATGATGATGATGATTATTATGATGATGATGCTGATGATGAACATGATAACAATAAAAACACTGATAAATACATAGTATTAGTAGTAGTAGTAGTCGTAGTAGTAGTAGTAGTAGTAGTAGTAGTAGTAGTAGTAGTAATACGAATGAAACAAATAATCATAATAACAATGATAATACTAGAATAGTAATAGTACCAATAATAACAATAACGATAATGACAATGATCATGAAAAATTAATAATAATGATAATAATAATAATAATAGTAGTAGTAATCACAATAATGATAAATTTAATGAGAATAAATATAACAATAATAATAATACTGATATTATTAATAATAATAAGACTACTACTACTACTAATACTAGTGATACTACGAATAATAATACTCATAACAAAGGTAATACGAATGATAGAAATGATAGTAACAATAATAATAATAATAAGAGTACTAATAATAATAGCAACGGTAATAATAATAATGATGATGATGATGATGATGATGCTGATGCTGATGATGATGATGATGATACTGATAATGATAATGATGATGATGATGATGATGATGATGATGATGATGATGATGATGATGATGATGATGATGATGATGATGATGATGATAATGCGGGAGGAGGAGGAGAGATATGACGATAGGGAGGAGAGGAGGAGGAGAGGAGAAAGAGGAGGAGGAGGAGGAGAAAAAGAGGAGGAGCGGGAGGAGAGAGGAGGTGCAGGAGAAGAGGATGAGGAGAGGGGAAGGAGGAGGGAAACGGAGGAGGAGGAGAGGAAGGAGAGGAGGAGGAGATGAGGAGAAGAGGAGAAGCAACGGGAGGAGGAGAGGAGGAGGATGAGGAGGAGGAGGTGGATCAGCGGGAGGAGGAGGAGGACGACGAGGAGGAGGAGGAGGAGCGGGAGCCACGAGGTCGGCTCTCCGGCGGCCCCTCCGGGGCGGGAGCGCGCCCCAGACGTAGCGCACCACCTGGTTCGGCTGCCTGGGGCGCCCCGGCCGCCGCCCGCGAAGTTGCGGGGAGCAGCAGCAGCAGCGGCGGCGGCGGCGGGGGAGGAGGAGAGCGAAGGGGAGGGGAACAGAGGGGAGGAGGAGACAAGGAGGAGGAGGAGGAGGAGGAGGAGGAGGAGGAGGAGGAGGAGGAGGAGGAGAGCGAAGAGGAGGAGAACAGAGGGGAGGAGGGAGACAAGGAGGAGGAGGAGGAGGAGGAGGAGGAGGAGGAGGAGGAGGAGGAGGAGGAGGATCAGCAGCAGCAGCAGCAGCAGCGGCAGCAGCGGCAGCAGCAGCGGCAGCAGCAGCGGCCGCAGGAACAGCGGCAGGAGGAGCAGCAGCGGCGGCGGGAGCGGCGGCCTGAGCAGCAGGAGACGTGGGAGCAGCAGGAGCCGCAGCAGCAGCAGCAGGAGCATCACACATCAGCAGCAGAAGGGGCTCGAATGGTACAGCAGGGGCAGGAGCAGCAGCAGGAACATCATACACCAGCAGCAGAGAGAGGGATCGACTAATCTAGCGGCAGGAAGGGAAGCAGGGGGCAAGCAGCGGCAGCAGGACAACTAGGATAAAAAAGAGCGGGAGCAAGAATATCGCACCGCACACCAGCAGCAAGGGTACGATGAACCATCACGGGAATCGAGAACCACGGCATCGAACATCCAGATGCGCCGACGCACCCCCTTAAGCGACACTTTGCCCCTTGACATCGAGATATGCTGGTTCTCATGCTATACTGCTCTTCCTGCCAAGAAGAGTGGGAAGAGTGGGTATTCCTAGCTCCATGGTCTCACTCACCAGTCAGCCAAGCGTGCCAATCTTTCCTCGCAACCTTTTGGTAGCTCTCTTGATGCAGGCCTCGGGAACCTCACGCTGCCTGGCTGACATCTAACGCCAAACATGCAAGAATTAAGCGCTTCCCCCGAATGGAACGGCACAGAAACTCGGGGACTGAGAAGGAGGGGTTCGCCTGAGACGCCGTAGCCGAAAACGGCATGGGCGGGGTCGGGCGTTTAAGGTTGAAAGGAAGTAACTTGCAATGGAGGCCAGTCCACAAGAAACCTATCACAAGAAATCCAACCCTCAGACACCAGGACGTCACTGAATGTTTGGTTTGGGAACGTCACGCCTTCCATTGCAAAACCATCGAAACAACCCAGGGCACCCTGGAGGCAAGCAGGGTGTCTCTTGGCATGGGCCTCCACTGTATCCTCTGCAGGCTCCTGGCTTAACTCCTCACAAGGGTCGCGTTCGGCACAGTCGAGGACATCGCCAGGAACACTCGCTTGCGCCTCTCCAGCATGAGGCGTCTCGAGAAGAGGACGGGGCTCCCAGAAGGCAGAGCGCGGCTGGTCCTGACAGCCAGCCGCTTACTCTGGCTGAGCATCGCAATAAGAGGAAGACGACGACCACGACGACGCGTTGGCGGTTCGCGCTGAGCGCGGGGGGCTCGCCAACCGGCGCCAGACGTCGGCTTCGCGGCCGGTGCCGGAGAGGGCGTCTGCGACAGCTGGGTCCCTGCGCGCAGCACTCGAGGCACGCCGCGCGCTCGTCCTGGTCGTCGTCCTCCTCCTCGTCTTCGTCCTCCTCCGGCTGCTGCGTCTCGCCCTGCCATTCCTCCGCCTCGTCAGCCTTTTTCCCCTTCTCATTCCTCTCCTCATCCAAATTATTGTCCTTAGCCCCTTGCCTCTCTCACGCCTCTCCCATCTTGTCATCAAATTATTACCCCCATCTCGCTTCTCATGATCCATTTCCTCTTCATTGTTTCCCCCCTCCTCCTCCTCTCTTCCCTCATCCTCCTCCCCCTCGTGCTCCTCCTGATCCTGGTCACGCTTGCGCTTCCGTTCCCGCGTCCTGCTCCTGCCGTTCCCGCTTCCGCTTCTGCACCTGGTGCCGGCTGTGATCATGATCCTTCTCCTCCCTCTTCTGCTGCACCTGACTTGCTCTTGTTTCTCAACATCCTCCTCCTCATCACAACGACCGCACTTGTGTTCCTCATCGCCGTACCCAAATAAGTAACAACTGTCGAACGTGTTAGGACGCCGACTCCCTTATGCACAGCGGAGGGATGGGGATAGGATAAGAATGCGAATGGGAAGAGGAACTAACAGCACCCGCATCTGTTTTCCTCAGCACCGTACCCAGACAAGCAGCACACATCGTACGTGTTGGGCCGCCAACTCCCTCATAATGTACTCCAGGTTTCGTAATAAAGGGAGGGGGGTCTCATTTCGGGGGGGGTCTTTTCCAAGCTATCTTGGAGGGCCTGGGGGGGTCTGGGGACGATGTTTTGGAGGGTTCTCCCAGGGGGGGTGGGGTCTCAAACTTCTCGTCTGGGAGGGTTGAGACCCCCTCCCTTTTATTACGAAATCTGGAGTACATGTGCGACGGAGGGATGGGAAGAAAGGCAAGGACTGGGAAGGGAGGGCGGGCGAGAGGTGGAGCAGGCGAAGAGAGACTCGGCTGCGCAACCAGTGGCCTGCCACATCTGTGCACCCACTACCTCCATCGGCCCCAGGGTGGCCGCAGAGGCCGAGCAGCCATGACCCTGAGCTGGCTGACCCTTCTCGCAGCTGGGCGTCTCGACGACGACGAGGACGACGACGACGACGAAAATGGGAACGATGACGACGGGAATTCGCCGACCCCGTGGGATTCCCCCTCGCCCGACTTCCACCGCCGCCTCTCGTCCCCCTGTGCCCCCCTTTGTCCCCGGGAGGCACCGGCAAGGCATCCGATCCCCCGAGAGCCATATTGCGGTGAACGCGGGAGCTCCCCAAGTCCGTAACAGGGCCAACCAGCCCCTCTTGCCGCACCAGTGTTAAACGTTGGGTGGTAACTCGTGGCCACTAGCTGCTGAGTCACATGCTTACCATGCCGACTCCGAAAGACCCAAACCGGGTTCAGGCAAGCAGGAGCCAGGAGAGAATACATTTTGGAAACGTATCCCTGGGGTTAGACGCCCACTCGGCCATAGGATGTCCCAGAATTCGCAGGCCCAACGGGCCAGAGGCGTGCTAAGATCTCCGTTCGCGCGCGCGGGGCTTACCCTGGGGGTCCGCGGACTATAAACATACCTCGGCGAGATCCTGGCAATGTGGGCCCAAAGATGCCAGAACTCCCTAGGGCAGTATTCTGGACCCCAAGAGGCCCCCAAGACGGTCCAAGAGGGCTCCGAATCGCTAACCACTCGGTCGAAGATGCCCGAGATGGCCTCCAATCGATTGAACCAAAACGCCCAAGACGCCCTAAGAGGCCTCCAAGAGCCTTCCCAACATGGGCCCGAATGGCGACAGTAATTAATTTCCACATGTTTTTCAATGCTCTCTGGGTTCTCCACTTTTCGAGTTTCCGACGCTCCAAGACGACCCAAGAGGACCCCAAGACCCCCAAGTCTCGCTTGGAAGTGGCGCTCCAGCGTGGGCGCAACGCATGTTTCGCTCGCCGAATCGCGGGAAACGGGGCCGCGCGAGGACGGGCGAAGTGCTGTTATCGCCACATCGCCGCGCGGATGTTGTGTGAATGTGGCAGGTCAAGTGTTTAGAGGAACCGGGGGCGCGTTGTTCTCGACCGAATCTCAAACTTTGAATGGGTGAGATCCAGTGATTACTTGGGTGAGCTTCAGGGGTAAGTGACAGCTCTGAGTGGACAATTTCTGGTAAGCAGAACTGGTGATGAGGGATGCACCGAACGTTGGGTGAAGGTGCGTAACTGCTTCGCCTTCGACGCGCTCGTCGGAGATGTGGCCGCTCGAGAGAACTCCATGGTGCTCTCGCCGCCATGTCACGCAAGGCTTGTCTGTTCCGCTCCCGAGCGTGTGGTGCCCGATTTTTGTATCCGCCCTCGCCAAGGTCGTCGGCAGCGGGACCGCGCGCGGGCACCTTCCGTTCGCTTGGTGGCAACCCGCATCAACCACCATTCGGCGGCGAGCCCGGGGGGACTTGAGAAGGGGCGGGCCTTCTTAGAAGGCTCGAAAGTCTCCCAGCCTTCCGAGGAGCTTTCTGAGTCTTCCCTGCAGGAACAGGGAAATTCTCAGAAGGCGGCGGGGCTTCTGAGAAGTCCAGCCGCCTTCTGAGAAGGCCTTCTCCTTCTCATTTCCCCCCTCGCTCGCTGCCGAACCACTTCAATGAGTGTCACCATTGGTCCTTCTGTCATGGAAGGGGCTGGGGATGACCAGTCACCGCTGACCGCTCTCGACCTGGTCGACTCGACCATCGCTTCTCGCACCTTCCCGCTCCTCCGCTTCGCTACTCCCAGAGAGCCCTGATTCGGATCGATAAGTCGGGTCGGGGGTAGCCGAATCGGCAGCCGTCGACAGGCTAGGAGGCCTCCGTTGAGCATCGAAATTCGAATCGAAATCCGAAGCCGAACCGGCATCGGAAGCGGAAGCCATCGAAATCGGATCGAATTGGATCGGAGGCGTCTAAATGAGATCTGTCATCGGGGCCGAAGCCTCGTGGATGCCACGACAATGGACACCCTAACAGTCAGATCATTGAATTTGGAACTCGTTTGAAATGTCGGAAGCATGCTCTAAACATAGTTTAAGCATGTCTTTTCATGCTTAAAGCATGTGTAGCGCATGTTCCAGATATCTGGAAATTATTTGGCGACGTGCTTCCTCTCCGTTGATCGCCCTCCACAATCAAATCATTGAATTTGAAATTCGTTTAATATGTCGGAAACATAGTCTAAACATGGTTTAAACATATTTCTCATGTTTAAAACATGTTTAGCGACGTGCTTCCTCTCCGTGGATCGCCCTCCACAACCGCAGCCCTGACCCCCATCCCTCCCCCTTCCCCAATCCGAGCCCTGCCAGCGAGGGAGCGCGGCGCGCGCTCCCGCGGGCGCCCTGCTGCGGCCCTCGCTGTCCTCTGGGAGGCGGCCGCGGGGTCGTCGCCGACGTCGGGGCCGTCGTCGTCGTCGTCAGCGTCGCAGGGGCCGTCGCCATCGCCGAGAGAGTCGTGGTCGTCGTCGTCGTCGTCGTCGTCGTCGTTGTCGGTCATGGCCTCCTCGTCCCCCCAGAGGGGAAGGTCGGCAACGGAAAGGAGGGGGGCCGAACGGAGAGAACACACGCACGTGCACAACGACATGTCAGCCAGCGTGGACCCCAAGCAGTGTGCTTCTGGCAAGCTGTGTTGTGGAATGTACGTGGTGCCATCGAGGTTGCGCAATCCATGTTGTGCAATCTATGTGGCGCAATATATTTTCTGCTATATCTATATATCTATCTATCTATCTATCTATCTATCTATCTATCTATCTATATATATATATATATATCTATCTGTATATATACACATATTGATCCTGGGTCGAGGGTGCACTGGCCACCCCCAGATGGGATGAGGGGGACGACGACGACGCCGACGCCGCCGACGCCGACGCCGACGCCGACGACGTATGACTGTATTGTCCTCCTCCTCCTCCTCCTCCTCCTCCTCCTCCTCCTCCTCCTCCTCCTCCTCCCTCAGCTTCTCTTTCCATAAACCTCTCCATGCAGCGAGGCAGCAGCGTTCGCGTGGCACTCCGCGGCGGTCCTGCAAGGGGGCAGAAGACTTAGCTTCGCCCGCCTCGCGTGGCACCGTCGAGAGTCCGAAGCTCCCGAAGACGATGGCCTCGTCGTCCTCTTCCGCCTCCTCGTCCTCCTCAACGCCTGGAACGGGCTGCGGCGAACACGGAAACACGGATGCATGACAGTGAGACGGGCAGTGCCACAAGAATCGTCCTCGTCCTCCTCCTCCTCCTCGCCGCTTGGAGCAAATCAGCATGATCGCATGGAAGATCGACTACGAATGCCACCAATCAAACACGTTACAAATGAGCCCAGGGAAGTTCCGCCACCTGGCCGTGCGCATTGAGTGAGGGTGTCCTCAGATCCTGTCGCATTCACTGCACTGTATCCTAACAACTCTCTGGGGGGTCCCAGAGGCCCAAAGGACGGGGATGCTCGGGGCTTCTGGCAAGGCGTCCCCAGTGAATCGTTGTGCTTTTCCAGAAGTCAGACGACCCCACTATGAACCAAGGGGGCCCCGAGAAGGCCTCCTCCTCCTCCTCCTCCTCCTCCACCACCTCTTCCTCCTCCTCCTCCTCCTCCTCCTCCTCCTCCTCCCTCTCCTCCTCCTCCTCTCCCCTCCTTCTCCTGTTCCTCCTTCTCCTCCTCCCTCTCCTCCTCCTCCTCCTCCTCCTCCTCTCTCTCCCTCCCCCTCCACTCTCCCACTTCCTCTCCTCCTCTCCCACCTCCTCCTCCTCCTCCTCTTCTCCTCCTTCCTCCTCCTCCCCCTTCTCCCTCCTCCTCCTCCTCCCTCCCTCCTCCTCCTCTCCTCGGTCCTCCTCCTCCTCTCCTCCTCCTCCTCCGCGTCCTCCTCCTCCTCTTCCTCTCCTCCTCCTCCTCCTCCTCCTCCTCCTCCTCCTCCTCCTCCTCGACTCCTCTCCCTCCTCCTCTCCTCCTCCTCCTCTCCTCCTCCTCCAAGCTCCTCCTCCTCCTCCTCCAGCTCCTCCTCCTCTCCTCTCCTCCTCCTCCCCCTCCTCCTTCCTCCTCCTCCTCCTTCTCCTCCTCCTCGACCTCCTCTTCCTCATCCCTCCTCCCCTCCTCCTCCTCCTCCTCCTCCTCCTCCTCCTCCTCCTCCTCCTCCCATCCCCCTGCACCGGCGCCCGGGCCGGACGCCCGAGCCGGCGCCCGGGCCGGCGCCCGGGCCGGGTCCGGAGCCGGTTCCGACCGGCGCCGGAAAATCGAGTTCCGAGGCGGCGCCGAAAAGAGGCCATTCCAATACACATTTTTCTTGTGAAAATTCTGAATTTCTGCTTCTGGCGGCCGGGAAGCCTCCCGGGCCGATTCCGGCGTGCTTCCGCTCGTTCCGAATCGTGCTCCCGCTGCAGCGCTGGCCTCATTTCCGCGCTTCCGCTCGTTTCGACTCGTGTTCCCGCTGCAGCGCTGGCGTCATTTCCCGTGCCATGCCACGGCATGCAATGCAATGCTAGGTTGATACTACGCTTCGCGGTGCTCTTCTACGCCATGCCATGCCGTGCTCTACAATGCATCGCGTACCCTTTCGGGATCATTGCCCTGCTCGACATCCGACTGTGCGAGTAGAGAGGGGATCTGCGCCATGGTAAGGGATGGGAGGGAGGGGTAGGATGTCAGATATGACGCGAGCGCACCTAGCTTGCCCCTCCCCCTCCCCCTCTTCCTTCCCATCCCCATCCCCCTCTCCCTCCTCCTCCTCCTCCTCCTCCTCTTCTTCCTCCTCCTCCCACTCCTCCTCCTCTTCCTCCTTCTCCTCCTCCTCCTCCTCCTCCTCCTCCTCATCCTCCTCCTCCTCCTCCTCCTCCTCCCTCTCTTGGAAATGTTTCCCCAATGGTTTTCCCACAATGGCTGAGAGAAAGCATAGAGACCACATGCGATTTCTAAAGACAGTGGGCAGCTGTATGTGGTTCGCAGCAAGCGTATTCGAGAAAAGACCAGGTCGACATGTCGGGAGAAACAAAGAATGGCCCCCCTCTCCGACGCTCCCCCGCCCCTACTCCTCCTCCCCCATGCACCCACTTTTCACTCGTCATCCCCGCGCCCTGCCCCAGTGTCGCATCTCCGCATGCAAGCGCCCCTGTCCCACCTGCCCCATCCCCCAACTCGGCCCCTCTACCCGACCACCCTCACCCCCGGCTCATCCCTCACCCCCTCCTTCGCTATGTTTAGCCTGTTGAGCTATGGCAGAGACGGAGTAAGTACATAATTCGAGTACTCATGCTTCTCCGATGTCTCGATCAAACAAAAAAACATCCTTCGCCTCCATACCCGTCCCCTCGTCCCCCCCACCTCCAAGCCCTGCCAACCGCACCATCACTCCCTCCCCCATCCTATCCCCCCCCCCCCCCCCCCCCCCCTTCGCCCCGACTCGCTCTCCTCCGTTGCCCGTTGCCCCCGCCGTCGTCTTCCGTCGCGACGCGCCCCCCCCCCCCCGCTGAGAGGCGACGGTGGGGGGGACCGGCTTCGGGAGGGAAACATCGACCTCGAATCGGCGCTGCATCGCCGATAGATCGGCGATGGGCTCCCGACAGCGAGACCGCACGGTCCTAGGTGGTGTGGGCTACCAAGCCACTATCGGCGCTCAGTGGGCGATTGGGGGTCGATGCGTCCCCCCTGAGCCTATCCCCCCCTGACGTTGCCCCTGATCCCCCCGCTCCTCTCTGGTTCGGCCGAGCCCTCTTCATTCTGCCAACGAGGCTGTGCACGCGCAGTTCGCCAGCGCTCGCGCGCCATGGAGCAGGCGCGCCGGCGCCGGCCACCGCTCGCGCCTGTGGAGGCCGAGGGGGAGGAGGCGGGGAGGCGTACCAGGACACTGATCAAGGGCAGGAGCTGATGTTGATGTTGATGTGATGTGGGATGACGGATGATGCAATGGGACGGATGGAAGGACGGACGACGAGGACGGATGACGGATGAAGGTGAGGAGGAAAGCAAGCTAGATCAAGCTAATCAGGGGCCCCCGCTTTGCCACCGGGTACAGAACAGGAGCTTCGAAGTGCCCACTTGGCCCCCTCTGGGAGAGTGGTCTTACCATACCCACTCAGAACCTTTTCCCGTCGGCGGCGAGGCAGAGGCAGTCCGCTCCAGCATGTGGCTAATCGGGGCAACCAAAATGCGAATTGTCCGGCGTGCAAGAGGAAGGAAAGAAGACGAGGGCGGCCGCGCGGGGGGAGGAGGGGCCCACACGGAACAAGTAACCAATCTGGTCAAGGATGCGGCGCGGCGTTGGTTCAAATACGATGCTGCGCGCCGCCGCAAGCCGTACAGTGCGGGCCTGGCCAGAAGAAACCTTCGACAGGAAACCTAACCCTGAGACCCCAGGACGTCCATTGACTTTTGGTGTGGGAACGTCACGTTTTCCATCGCGAAACCATCGAAACCCAAGAAGTCCAGTGCACCCTGAAGGAAAGCTGGGTGCTGCTTGGCATGGGTCTCCACCGTGCACGCGCGGCCTGCCACAATTTTGCGCTGCGTCGCGAGTGCGGCGCGCCTGCCGTGCAGGAGACTGCTTGCCATTGCGAAGTCGATACCCCCCTGTCTGAAGCCACCACGAGGCAGCCTACCGCGGATAGTCGGCGGCGAGCCTGGGAGGGAAGGGAGAAGGTGCGGGCCTTCTCAGAAGGCTCGGAAGTCCCCCGGCCTTCTGAGAAGTGTTCTAAGCCTTTCCCGAAGACGCAGGACACTTCTCAGAAGAAGCGGGGCCTTCTGAGAAGTCCCGCCGCATTCTGAGAAGGCCTTCTCCTTGTCACTTATTCCCCCCCTCGCTCGCAGCAGAGATCGGGGAACCAGGCTGACATCTCACGATATCTCGTATGGCGCGGAACAGCCCCCTGGAACTTCTTATGTCTCCCGATCGTCTTCAGCATGACACGGCACATGCCGAATCTCGAGGCGTTCGTTATCAACGTCGTGTGGCCCCATACCCAGTGTGATACAGGCATCTCGTATATTGGCCGCACAGACAAACCTCGCCCCTTGTACTGGCGTGGGTATCTGTTTGGGACATGTATCGGGGAAAACACGCATGGTTGGACTATCGTGCACTTCGGCGCCACAAATGGGCCACGAACTACATCCGAATTGCAAGGGCGAATGCGTCGCTTCCTTAAGAGCAAGCGACGACAATGGTGAAGACGCTCGAGCGCGAACAGATTGTCCCCCGGGAAACCTCGCATCCAAAATCCAGGGACCGCTCCCTAAGTCATGTTGAATGCGGCTGCAGGTCACGTACTCCAGATTTCGTAATAAAAGGGAGGGGGTCTGGACCCTCCAAGACAAGCCATTTCAGACCCCCCCCGTGGGAGAACCCTCCAAAACATCGTCCCCAGACCCCCCCAGGCCCTCCAAGATAGCCTGGCAGAGACCCTCCCCGAAATGAGACCCCCCTCCCTTTATTACGAAATCTGGAGTATGTTGCGGTGGAGGGCGTGATGGGGGGGAGAGGGCGGGGCAGACGAGGCCCCCGCTCGAGACATCCTCACGATTCGCGCGTTTGGAACGCTCAAGTGTTTTGCCTGCTGCAATAGGCCAATGAACCGCTCGGATTGCCAACATGAAGTTCGGGCCCCATAGGGAGGAGTCTCCCGCCTGAGGCTTCCTCAAGATTAGTGTGTGTGTGTTTGAATGTGTGTCAGTGCGGCTGTATCTGTGATAAGTTTGATGATGACGATGTTGGCGATACAGCTTATGATTAAGACGACTGTGACGATCATCGGCCATGGTGATGAGTGAGTGGGTGATGAGCGTAGGTGAGTGAGTGAGTGAGTGATGATGCTGATCCTGAGGATGGTGGCCGATGGTCATGACGTGATGGTGATGATGGTGGTAATGATAACGATATTGATCATGCTGCTGATGATGGTGATGATGGTGATGATGGCGGTGTGATGCTGATGGGATGGTGAGTGTGAAACGAGGTGAGGAGCAGAGGGAAGATAGGGAAATGTGTATTGCTCTCCCGCGCGGGGCTTGTGCAGAGAAAACAAGAGGCCCATGCAGGATGTGTGAAGCATACCCTCGTACATTTGCACATGCGTCAGGCTCATCATATGAAGGGTAACGACTACATCACGCAACATATGGAAGCCGTCCGCAATACTACGCTTGCAAGATCCACTTTGCACACGCTA